TATATATATAAATTTTTTTTTTGTCAGAACAGCTGTTTGCCTATTGAAAGATTTTCACTCATCTCCTGTTTTTAATTTCCAATTACTTACTGTTTCGGTGACAGTAGTCACCAGGACAAATTGAAAGGATGAATCTCCCCAGTGGGGACACAAACAGCAATACAGAAACAAACAACAATGATTTTCATTTATTTAAACAAATTTACAGTTATTTATTTCAAATGAAAAGAGGTAATGTAAGGGTCACAATCAATCAACGGTAGATTTACCAAAGCGATGTAATATGAATAAATCTATCCAGTCAATTTGTATCCAGTCAGGCACATAAACAACTTGGTCGTGCACAAAAAATATGTTTTAACAGCAGCACTACAAGCTAAAAGTACCAACCCTTGCGATGTCCAGTCTGAGGAATGGGGAATTAGGAATCACGAGGGGCAGGGTAGTAGGTGCAATGGGTTACTAACAGGGATGCAATTATACCAATACTAGTACTCACCCAAACGCTCCAATACCTTCCCCGATACCGGAAGGGGAATATGGAGCCGGCTTCTTGGGCAATTAGAAAGCCAGGTGACGAGTAATGACCCACCTCCCGGCTTCCTGATTGGCCGGGAAGCCGGCTTTTCAGCCAATAAGCATGGAGCTGGCTTCCCGGCCAATCAGGAAGCTGGGAGGTGGGTTATTACTCACCTTCCTGATTGGCCGGGAAGCGGGCTCGATGCTAATAGGCAGGAAGCCCGGTTTCAAGGCCAATCACAATCGAGCTGGCCAAACAACATGGAGCCGGTTTCCCGGGCAATCAAGAAGCCGAGCAGCATGTCATTACATGTCACCCGGCTTCCTGAATGCCCGGGATGGCAGCTCCATGCCAGCGGAAGCACTGGTATTGTTACTCTGTATTGGCGAGTACCGAAAGCAAAATATCGGTACTCTCACTCGGAAACCGAAAAACCGGTATCGGTGCATCTCTAGTTAGTTAAGAAATATGAAAGAGGAAAGAGTCAGCAAAATTAGGCAGAAGAGGAAAGGAAAGGTGGGGGGAGGTTAGAGAAGAAGGGCAAAAGAGGGTATAAGGTAGGTGTGGGGAAGGGTAAGATAAGGGGGGAAGGGTAAGATAAGGGGGGGAAGGGAAGAAGGCTCACTGGGAATCTCTTCCACATCTCACCAAAACCTAAAACAAGTTTTAGCTATAGATACTGTTAAAAGTAGATGGATATGTTTATTTGAATAATCAGAGTCTTTGAGCTCGTTCATAACATCGTCCTTTGTGTTTGAGGTGCAGAGGATGCAGTGACGGATGTAATTATCCTCTGGAATTTGGCTGCAGGGTTATACATATAACAAAACAACTGTTCTTCAAATGGCTGTATAGGATATTACAGTATTTGTAAAACCTGTCTCAGACATCTACATATTTCTCAGGTTCACTTCTCAGATCTGCACACCCCTGCACGCACTTCATGTGCTCAGCCACGTGCTGTGCAATCTGTTCCCAATAGCTATAGTGGAACTTCAAGCAGGATGGGAAGTCCTGCTCACATCTATGATTGTATAGCAAATGTTGTGAACCATATACCTTACATGGAGATTCTACCATTCATTCACAGATATTTCAGGGTGTGTTGGAACCCACAAAATGTAAGATTTTGATCAAAACTAAAAGGTTTATCCTTAGAATCTGATTGTGTGTGGCATATCTGTTCAATTCAACATAATAACAATACATTTGTTCTAGGTTCCAAGAACCTGATGCAAGGTAATTCTCTGTGTAGGGCTTTCAATGTTGAAAATAGCTAGCAAAGTAATGTAACTAGCAAAGTAAAAAGTGACCCCCTAACCTTAATCTAATCCTTAGGTGGATCCTACCACAGAACCCTCCGCTTATCACACCCTAAAACATACAAAGGGGAATTTATTAAACATGGAGCAAACAAACACTGGAGCAGCGGTACATGGCAGCCAAATCAGCCTCTTTCTTTCATTTTCAAATCTTAAGTGAACAAACTGAAGAGAAACGCTGATTGATTACCATGCACAGCTGCTCCAGATTGTCTGCTCCAGTTTTGATAAATTCCCCTCTTGGTGTACTGTGCTTTACTCACGCAGAGCAGATGAACAGGTTCACTTTAGGGGTGGGCCCACCAGCAGCATGTACTTGCCTTTCCTTTGCTAATTCATCGCTGTGAGCAAAGAAAGCTATCCCGTGCCTAAGGGTATGGGAAGCTTGTAAAGCTTCCTTCCCAAGTGGCAGTGCTGATGCTTGGCTCCAACATCCAGCGCTGCCACGCATAGGGAGAGTCTTAAGCCCTGTGTAAGTTGTGGAGTTTGCACAGTTTTCTCTCCTCAGTCCTGGCAGCTGAACAGAGCTGCAGTGAAGAAAAGGAAAAAAGATAAGTAAATGCAGCTTGTGGGGTGGCATTTTAAATTTGCTTCTTTTATAATGAGGATTAGATTCTGCTTTTATACTATTTCGAGGACAGTGTATGGACAATCCTACTATTCGATCCAAATAAAGTGTGACTGCAGTTAAATATGTGTAACATATGCAGCTAAAACTTAGCTTAGCTCTTTTATGTCTCTCCTGCACTAGAATTTATTACATTTCTCTTGATTTTTGTAGGACTCCATATCACCGAACACAGCATGATTTTATGTACAGTTTGATCCCTCTCCACAATTAGATAGTCGGGTGCTCTTCTTTGTCAGAATTAAGCTATTTAGGGTCACCACTTGTTTTATTAGACATTAAAATTATTTAACTTGAGAGGAGGAGGTCATTAACAGTGCCTGAAACACCTCTCTCTATTGGGAGTGGTATAAAAGTAGCAAATGCGGGTTTTAGCGATACTGAGGATTTCTCATTACCCAACCCTCATGGTGACACATATGCCCTGCAGTGGCTAGCCTTAGGCTGCAGGTATTCTTGTCTTTTTACATTCTTCAGGAAAAAAATAGAACAAAAATGCCAGTAAGACAAATATACCATTCTAATATTTGCTGTATTTTTTTTTTATTGTAGTACCATCTTTTAGTGACCAGAAACCTAAACCTGTGGTTCCCCAAATGACAACAGAAACTCCACCACCACCACAGAAACGTCGTAATTCCACACCCAAAATTCCCCGAGTTAGATCTGTCGTGCCGGCCCCTAAACTGAAAACCGTCTCTGAGTTGCTAAAAGAAAAAAGAATGGAGAAATTAAAGGCCCTCAAAGCTGCTCAACGCACCGCAGTACTGTCTGGAAATATCCTGGTTTCTCCACAAATCTTGATCCAACAGCCTGCGAACCAAGCAGTACAACCTCAGGCTATGGTGCTGCCTGTGGCTCCAACTACTTTACAGAATGGTTCTTGGTCTGTTAGGCCCTTTTCTCCTATGCCAGCCCACCAAGCTGTAACAACAAACAATGTATCTGCCAATCAGATGTCCCCAGTCAGTGGCGCACCCATTAGCAGACTACGGGCAGACCCTACAGCAAGTGTACCAGTTTCCCAAAGAACTGGTGTTCAAACAACTATTCAGAGTGGGTCATCTGGTGTGCCCCCAACATCTCAGCTGTTGCCTCCTCAAGTAACGCTCCTGCCCAGGACAGTATTCCCTTTGCCAAGCCTCAGTGCACCTCCCATGACTTTTCTGGTTACTCCTCAGGGTTTGATTTCAATTCCAACTCAAGCTTTATCATGTCTTAATTTAACCCAGCAATCAGGGAACCAGATCCCCAAAATTGTAAGCATGCCATCGAATAGCGCAGCCACTGGCACTTTTGTAACTAGTGGTAGCATCTCAAATGCACCATCAGATACTTTGCATACTACAGCCCAACTTTTGCCTGCCACCACCAGCTCTAAAACACAGCAAAGCACTATAACCTCCTCTCCCATTGTTAACTGCCTTCAAATGTCTAACACTCATTTACCAATACTTGCCCAATCGGAGACATCTAGGAAGCCATCCCAAATCTTGCCTGCTGTTACCAGCTACCTATGTCAAGATGGCACTGCAGGGACCTCTTCGGTTGGAAGTCTGTCACAGGTGGCTGGGTCTCCTTTGCCTACAATTGCCCCAACTGAAGTTTCTAAGATGCCATCTCTTGCTTTACCTACCATTACAAGTTCTTTAAGGCATGAAGACATGGCTACCACCTCTTCAATTGATAGCAGTCCGTTAGTTTCTGGCCCATGTTTGCCTATGCCTGCCCTATCTGATTCTTCAGAGGTGTCATCCCAGATTTTGCCTGCCACTACAAGTTCCTTAGGACAAGAAAACACTGAAATGAGGGCTTTGGTTGAAAGCCGATCACAGCTGGCTGGTTCTTGTTCGACAACCCTTACGCCATCCAGTGCGTCTAAGGTGACATGCAATACTTTGCCGGTTGTTTCAAGTGCTTTGAAACAGGTAAACACAGCAGCATTTTCACCGGCTGCAAGCTGGCAAAAGGAGGCAAGCCCTCATTTGCCAATATCTGCCCCATCTAAGGCATCTACGATGATATCTCAGACGTTGCCTTTTGTTACAAGCTCCTTAGGAAAGGTGGGCACTTTGGTGGCCTCATCAGTTACAAGCCAACCACAGCCAGATATCACTTGTTTGCCAAAAGCAGCCCTGGCTCAGGGGCTTCCCAACAAGGCAAGTCAGCTAAAGCTCACCCCACAAAAATATCCTATTGTTAAAATAGCCAAGCTTTTGCAGACAAATTATCCCAAAGAGTATACAGCAAATGTGACAAGTGACCCACAGAGCAGTTCTGCACCAAACAACTCTTGTCAGACCACTAACTCTGAAAGGAAGAATTTAGATGTGAAACTCATCTCTTTAGAAGAAGAGAAGATTGTGAAGGAATGGCTTCTAGGGAAGAAAGGGGTGGAAGTACAAAAGCAAAAAATTGCCATTCCTTATTTGCCCCCTTCCATCTGCACTCTCAAAACGTTTTCAAGACTTCTGTTGGAGAAAAAAACTTTGGAGCAGAATGCTTTGAAATTACTGCCATTCTCTGATGTCACAGAGGTTGGCTCAAAGCAAATGAAAGCAGCTCTCGGTGATATGGTGGAAGAGAAGCTTAAGGACAATTCGGCCTACCAGCTTATTAAACAACGTTTCCTCTCTGCATTTACCATTCCTGGGTTCCTAGCTGTCCTCCCACCAACTGCTGATAGTATAAAGCAGGACTGTGATGAGGACTTTGAGGATTTAATGGATAGTGAAACAAACATAGTTGAGGCTCCACATAAAGGAATACGTGCTGCTGTGGTTGGCAATTCAGTTGGCAACATATCTGGAGGGGCTACACCAATACTTACAGAACAGGTAGGATTAAAAGTATTTTCTACATTACCTAAAACACTTTATAGTAAAAAGAAAAGGTGCCAAGGTCTGCAGGACATATATTTTCATGGCTTCCCCCTTTTGGTGGTATTTGCCTGATTTAAAGTACTTTCCACCCTACATATCATACAGTTAATAAAATCCAGGTTCTGTTTTTATGCTATTTGTGGTACATTTGGAAACCCACATGGTTGCTTCTAATAGCCTGCTAATCCAGCTCCTCACCCTCCCTCAGCTACTTTGTTTTACACTCTAGCCCCTCTGTTATCTCTGTTACCTTAACAGCTTGAGGTATTCATTAATCACACAAAAAGAGACCCAGGTAAGCGTGCACTTGGTGCTTAGTGTCTCACAGATAGATAGAAATGATGGTGAGTGGCTGAAGAGGCAGTGTGAACACTTGCATTTTTTTCATCTATCATTAGCCTGTTTGTTTTTTGACTGGAATTGAATAGGCAATGCATGGGTTCATTTTTTGCAGCATGGGTCTTCTAATGTTCAGTCTGTAACCTCTGGTCAGAAAGTAGATGAAGCAGTGATAACTGACCATTAAATATTATTATTTGAGCCTGGTGGGCTAAGAAGAGAGATTTCCAAACTCATGTCAATCAATTTGAATTCATGCTAAAACTATAGTAGTACTGTTGTTAGGGATATACTGGTATCGGTATCGGTACCGATACTGAGCATTTATGTGAATACTCATTCTCACAAAAATGCTAAGATTCTTACCCTGATACCAGAACTTCTAGACAGAGGGAATCAGTGCCGCAAGGGAGCATGGAGCTGGCTTCCCAGCCAATCAAGAAGCCGGGTGGCAGGTCATGACCCGACTCCCAGCTTCCCGATTGGCTAGGAAGTCGGTTTCACGGTGCCTAGCGACACAGCGAGGCAGCCTGGCCGGGAAGCCAGGCTGCCTCGCAGTGTCATGAGGGATTATAAAGTCTGTGTGTTTTCCAAAGAACATCGGCTTCCCAGGCAATCAGAATGCCGATATCGGTATTCAGTATCGGCGATTAAGAGCTGCCTCGCCCAAAGTTTTGGCTAAACATATACTTTAACATGAAAAAATATATTTGATTGTAGGTGCGCTTTAAGAACATTTACATCACAATGAATTTATTGTTTTTCTAACAGGAGAGGCCGTTAAATTACAGTGCTGAAAACTTGAACAGCATTGACAACACAGAGAGGATATTAACTCGAAGAAGTATTTACTGCCGACCAGTAACCTGAAACTGCGGTATGTGAATCTTTCATAGAGCATCACACTTTGCTTTGCTGTAGATAAACAGGGAAGCTTTATATCAGATAGGCGTACATACAACAATATATTGTTTAATCTGCAATTAACTGCCTCTATCCACTTTATTAAATATTACTCTCCACATGGCTGCAGGACAGGATAAAATAAAAAAACTTTCCTAATTTACTTAGAAGCCCGAAGAAACGCACTGAGTCTGGCCAGCAGAAAATCTATTTTTTATTCATGTGTATCAAGGCTACACATTACAGTTTCCATTTAGTCTTTTTTTTTTTTTTTCCAGCAGTAGCGTACTTGTGATGGGTCACTAATTAAGAAAGTATTAAAGCAGGGCAAGTGGAACTTTCAGTAGATATGTCTCTTAGGAAAGGTTAAGATGAACTACCGTTATATTTTTATTAAACTATTATTAGTTAAAATCTCTGTTTTTTATCATCTACCCAAAATCCCCTGCAATACTGAAATTGCATTGCACATGCAACATGTTTCAGGCACTGAAAGATGCGCATGTGCTTAGGCTACTTACACAATGATGGGAGCGTTGCCACATGATGGTGTTGAATAAAAGCCCAGTGAACAGGCAGGCAACAAATAGAAACTGCTATAATGATATGGAAACAAAACTGTATATTCCCCTACTACCGGTAGCTCTGGAGGCATGTGTAAACCACGTTAATAGGATTTCTTTACCATCAAATCCTTTGCATTGAGGAACACAGCTCTGAAGGATTCTGAGATTTAGGGTTATGCTGCTGCCTCCAAGAGAAATGGACACTAGTAAAAAAAAAAATTAAAAGCCTACCACTTCAAGGACATAACCCTTCCCACCTTACACCTGCCAGTTGTATCAAGCAGTATGAATGGAAATTAGGGGAGGGAGCTGTGCACCTCTGTGGACTCCGAGAAAAGGATTTTACAGGAAGAACAAAACTCTATTTTCTCTATTGTCATTTGAGGAAGATTTCGGAGACTTAGGGACGTTCAAAAGCAGTCCAAAACAGAGGGCCAAGCACCATAAAAATTAGATGAACCAGCTCAAACACTTAAACAGCCATCTGAAGACCTTTTCTGCCAAAACTAGCATGAGAAAAGGCAGTAATGTCAAATTTATAAAACTTGGTAAACTGCAACGTGTAGGGCCAACTATGACAGAAGACCAAGTTATGGCCTTGCAATTTGTGTAACAGAAGTTAAATTTTTTTTTAAATACCCAAGAAGTACTAATTGCCCTAGAATGGGCAGTAACAAGAAAAGGCGGAACCTTGGCCCGCAACTCATAAGCTTGAATCTTCCTTGACCTTATGAATCCACTTAAAAATAGCAGAAAATGAAGACAAAGCAGAGACATTTCATTAGGATTTCAACTGGACAAAGTGAAGGTAAAACAATGTCTTCATTAAAATGAAAGACTGAAACAATCTTGGATAAAAAAAAGGAAACCTGCAGTCTTAAAACAACCTTGTCCTTATGTTTTGCATAAAACAAAACCGACAACTCGGAACCCCTTCTAGCTGATATAATAGACACAGGAAAGGCAACTTTTTTGAATAACAGAGACCAAGAAATGACTCGGTCAACAGAAATGTCCGGTGCACGCCATACAGCAACCAGGACCTTTTGATTCTTGAAAACAGCAGTGGTCCACGGATGGCGCCGTGCAAATCTAGAAATGATGGCAATTAAGATCACCAGCATTCGCAAAATGGAATAAATCCACAGGTTCTTTTTATTGTAGAACAGCGTCGCATGTATCATATAGCCTGGGCTGCCTAGCAACAAGTGAAGCTTCCTAATTTGTCAGGAATCCAGGCAGTCTTGGTAAGTGAAGCAGGTGTTTTTTAATAGAATACCAGCTTCCTAATAATTGGGGCACACATCAACGGTAAAAAAAATATATCAATACTCGATACCGGAAAAAAAAAGATATTGATGCATCCCTACTTTTTACATTGAGGTTTCCACTGACCAGCACTTAAACCAAATACCTCTGTGTATCTGAATAGAAGAAACAGACACACAAGATCACAGATGACAAGCATCATGAAACAAATCACATATGAAATGAGAAGCAATAACAACAATCAATCAATAAAATGTGGATCAACTCCAGAAGTTGCCTGTTCCATACTTAAAGATTTTGTCTAAGTAGTCAAAGTCTGGGAAATAATGACCATAGCCAATAATAGTTGAAGAGCTGAAGCAGTTAACGAATAAATGGTAAAGAAAGATTATCCAATTTTTTTTTGTCAGTGGGATCCTTAAATGAAGGGGTGTCCTCAATAGGCAAAGTCAGGACAAGAAATTGGAGGCTCTATACTGTGCTAAATGTAGAAAAAAAAGGCCGACACCTGGAACTGCATGTTCCGTGCATCAAGTGATCGGAATCGTGCCTTCCTTGGTGTAGCGATGTTAGGAAGCTGAACAAATGTTTGTTGAGCTACAAATTCACCTGCATTATCACTCTGGATTCAGTTTCTAAACTGTAATCAGTCTTTTGCTTCCTTGGAGCAATCCTAAACCGCATTGACCACAGGCAGATATTGCAGCCAACATTTTTATTACATGCTAGTAGCAATTTTGTGGAGTTTTCAGCAATCATCTGCACAGGAAAAATTCACAATCATGTGAAAATCCATTGTTCTATATTAGACATCTGTTCACACCATATTGGAAAAAAACATTTTTTATAGTCAAATAAAAAGTTGCATCATACATGACAGCCTATCAGACATCTGGTTTATGTGGGACAGACAAATATATACTTTCAATTTCTGTCAATGAGATCTAGTATCTTCCCCTGCAGGTTTACTTGGGTATGTCAGTTTGATTTTTATTCTTGACAAGGCTGTTGCTTAGTTTTCTAGTCTTACTTTGTACAATTTAAGCGCTTAATATCCTTTTAATTTGCTCTTTTTTAGGAAAACAAAAAAAAGAAGGCTTTGTATGGATCAGGCATTCTGCAGACCCAGTGGGCTGGACAATTCACCATCACTTTGGAGCTCCGTTCACTGGCTTTTTAACTCTCTATTTCCACTGGAGTGCAGTCTGTTGGCTAAAGCTTAATCCCTAGATACTTTTGACATTTACCTGGGCGTTTAGCCATATTGTGGTTAAACTAGGTCCAAGTCTGTCACCTTTTCAATTTTAAAGGAGGCAAGTACATCACGGGCACATGCCATTGAAGGTAACTGAATTGAGTACTGTCCTTGGAAAATGAGAGTTTAGGTGCTGCAAGCAGTGAGGACTGTATGGATAACCATGCCTAATTTTCGCCTTAATATTGGCTGCCAAGTAACTACTGCCTACAAAGTTAAGCACATCAGTATAATTGTAGCTCCTGATAAACTGTGGCATTGGACCAATGCACACTTCTGATGGTACTTAAAGGAAGCTAAGAATGAGGGAACATTTAAACTGCCATCACTGATCTGAACCGAGTCACTAACCTGGAAAAAGTATGCAAAAGAGTAAATTGGAGTCATACTGAATTTTCTGACCCACATACTTGTACTGGATCACTATCTCAGAAAATACTAAAGAGAATCGATAAGCTTGTCAACCAGGAAACCAGCATTGTTAGAAGAAACAGTCTGCGTATTTCCCTGTGTACAGGTTTACACTCAACACATTATGTTTATAAATTTTGTTTACCATTCACATGTTATTTTTGTGTTTTCTTAATGTGTATTATATTTTGTTAATGGTTTACTTTATTTATATCAGTTCCATTACGTTTAAATGGTGTTATAGGTGAACGGAAGGAACCGCTTTTAGGAGTTTGTTACAAAAATATTCAACTCTCTGGTTCCTGGTAAAATTGCCTATGGAAACTGGTACAAGTTCTTGGCAAGTCTCTGTAGTGCAGCTGCCACAATGCGCCTCATGGTTACTGAAGTGAAACTGGCACTTTCAGGTAGTATAAAAAGCAGACCATAACTCGGTAAGGAAGAGGGCAAGTGAGAAATTTGCACCATGGGAAAAAAGATAATCAAGGGCAGCTCTCTACTAGAAAGCAAAGGACATTTGCTGCTGGCTTTAGGTAAACTGAAATGAATGCA